AGGATTAAGGTCTGCAAAGTCGCCAAGAAATCTAGGATTAAGGTCGATTTTGACCTTAATCCTGTCAGGGATTGAGGATAGGGATTGAGGATAGGGTACGCCATATGCTACGTGTATTTACAATACATCGATGTCCTGACACGAAACACCCGCAGGTTTGAGTACGCAGGCGAGAAGATCGCTTGTTGACGACTACTCAAATAGTCGAAAGTTCTCCGATGGAACGATATTTCGAAAGATAATTGAATACGAGACGTCTGACAACTACTCCAAACAACACTGGTGGTCGTGGCTGACGGACTGCAAAAAAGACATCCTATGCAGAATCTTCTCTCACTTGGAGTTCAATGCTGCCCTACGCCAGTTGTATCAAGTCCCTGCGCTGCTGGAAGATCTCAACATCACTGTCTGGCACAAAATCATAGCCACACGGAGTGACGAGGTAAGTAGCGAATAATATAACTCTAAGTAACATGTCCAATCTAACGATGCAGGAATTCTTGCACTACATTAGTCTTATACTCGCTACCTTCGACTACATATGCATCAAACAAAAACGCCTATTGATCGCACTTGACAGAGAAACTGTGAGACATTTGCAATCAAGATGTCCTGGCACGTCGCTGAGTGACCTAAAACATTTGGAACATCTAGTGCACAAAAAGCAAATCTTTCCCAACGTTGATGATGCCACCCGGCAAGAGATTTGGAAGAGATTGCGTAACACTAAATATTTGATACCCACTCTGGGAAGCTTACAGCATGACTTCAAATATATAAGAGGCCCCGCAGTGGCCCTCCACAGATTGCTGAGTCCTACAGGCAGTAGAAGACAGCACCGGAAGACCTTGCGCGATCTTGCAGAACTGGCGTTTTCGGCGCCACAACTACGCGAGAAAGTAACCATACAGATTACAAACGACTCGACACAGGAGATAACCGGTGATGAGCACGATCAGTTCGAGATCGGATTTCAGCAGCTCTACTTATTCGCCATGAGAGAATCATGGAGTCTAGTAAACGATTGTCCACTCAAAGAACCAGCGAGAGAAAAACCGTTACCAAAGTCTCCAGACCCTATTGTCTGGCACAATTTCGCGAAGCTTGCCTACACTCTGGGATTTAAATCAACAGAGGTCCAGCGACTAAAGCAAATAAACCCTTTTCAAGAGAAGGCTCGGCAGGTGCTTCTAGACAAACATGAATGGAGCTGCGAAGATGCACTTATACAACGTCTCTTGACTGATACAGAACAGCTCTATAGAATGATGAGTCAGAACACATCCTCACTGAAAAACGAGCCGCAGATGCTCACTCATGGGCCCGGTGAGCCGGTCAAAAGACGTCGAGGCCGGTGCTACGAAAATGCTTACGATCGAGACAAGCAACACATGTTCATCAAAACTCTCCTCCAGCCTGTGGATGGATATGCAGATTCAGTGACATCGCTCTTCGTTCGCAAGTCTGTCCATCAAGCTTTCTTCCCCTCCTGGAAGATTGCGCGTGAAGCACCTATTGTTTCAGAACCAAAAGAAGATGTCAATAGCAACAGAACTGAAGAACAGACTGATGATGTTGATATGCGAGATGCTGCTGCAAGTAGCCCAAAAGAGGGCACTGATGGAGTTATGGCCAGACAGCAGAATGGGGACACTGATATGATAGACACAACTGCAGTGAGCCGTAGCAGCCAAAGAGGAGATCGCGTTGACGGATTTCCATATCTCCATGCAGGTTCGACGAAAACACCTCAAGAGGGCAATCCCATCATGAATGAAGAGGTGAGAGGCGGCCTAGCGATAGCTATGAATACCGCAAGCACTGGCTTGATCAATGAGAGTTCCCAAAAAAGGAGCTTTGCTCACTCTAATACTGCCGCCGGTACCCTGCCTCCTGCACCACCATTAGCTCTACAGCTCGTTAGAGCCACCGACGCTCGACTTTCAACAACAAAGAGAACTCGCACTGACAATGATCGGGGAAATATCAAGGACCGGAATGGCAGTGAACATGCAACTGGTGCCAACACTCAGGTGGTCGCAAGAAGGGGATCCACTTCTTCTATTCCTCCTACAAATGCGTTGACCACTGCACCATCGCTAGATTTACAGCTCGTCAGCCCTGGCAACACTCATGACTGGGCAAGAAAACGACCTCGCACTGGCGACTATGTGGGAACCATCAGAAATAAGAATGGCAATGGGTACGAGAGTACTTTGAAGCTTCAGCGACCATCTGATTTCCATCGCCACTTACGTGGTCGCCACTCACCTTTGAATTATGGGAAAAGCATTTGGGGCGACACGCATCCTCAGATTTCAAGCTCGGTAGAAGTCACTGTCTGGACGGACTTTGATGGAGAATGGGAAGAAGTCCAGAACAGCAGGTGCAACAGTAGTGAGCAAGTCCAAGAAGTGATTGGAAAGTTGCAGGCAGAGCGAGAATGCTGGCCAGCAACGAAGGAAGGTCGAGGGCTCATGGCCTCAGAATGTTATGAAATTGCAACGCAACCAGGGGGCGATTATCGTGTATATGTTACAAAGTATGAAGAGTTGTGAATCTTGTTTATAGGATCTGCAAGTAGACGCATACTAAAAGCGCTAGATTCTCAAATGTAGGGTATGAATTTTGATCTATATGGTGACCCAAATTTTTCTATTGCGGTTACTATATGTATATTTAGCAAGACACTCAAGACTGATGCCATTATTGGGTCAGTCTTATGGCGATAATGTTGAACTAAGAAAAGTGAATGCTTAGTCCCATTCACATACTCTAGCTAGTATAATGTGGCATGATGGAGGATGGAACTCAAGAAATTAAGGGGCGACCCGCAGTCAGATAGTCGAATAGCAAGCGCTGGTAGTGCATCGAGTGAAGCTGTCTAACGTTAGCGCCTTTTTTCAGCTTAAGCTAGGACACTGTTACCTAAGAGACTTCCTCTTCAAGCGAGGAAAAGTAGACTCTAAAGTGTGCCCCTGCAACTATAGAGCTGCTCAAGATCCTACACATATCCTACTTAGCTGCACGCTATTCCAGGAGGACAGAGCAAAGATGCAAGAAGCTAGCAGGGACCCCCTATCACTAGCTTTCTTACTACACACAAACACAGGCATACAAGCTACAATTAGCTTTATTAAGGAAACTAAGGCTACAACACAGGCCTGGTATAAAGGAAACCTTGAGAACTAAGGCAACACCCACAGCAGGTGCCCCCGCCCTACACCCACTTTACCTACCTCTTCTACCCGTAATACCCCCTACTACCCCCCTCGATACTAGGCTACGAGCCTCACCTCGATTCAGATAGCCCCCTCCCCCAACTACACCAAATTGATAGCACTACGTAGATACTTGTAAGCCTTATCGGCTTGCACGTCTTATATAGCCTTCGGGCTGACACAAGACGTTAATCAATAATAATAATAATAATAATAATAATCGCATACGCACGGACCCGTCCCACACGTACTGTCGTCCATGGTAAGCGACCACCTTAGGCGTTGCATTAACAGTCTTATTCGTGTAGAACCACTTGGATGGGCCCACAAGTGGTGCATTTGTGCGAATACATTAATAGAATATTTAGCCATGCTAACAAATATTATGGTGGCAAGGTCACACACGATGTTCTGGTGTGGTTTAGCGCTGACTTTGTGGATGTGGAAAGACGCTAAGATCGATCAGATCATCCCGCGTGGTTTACGATAAGGAGTGTGCTATAGGTGCCCTATTGGAGTGTTGTAACGCTGACGGTCACGCCCTGGGCTCGGAGTGTGGCTGACAAATTTCTGCGTGGTCACTGTGTTGAGTTTTGTAGCATTATTTTCTCAATTGCGCAGTATGTATATGTACATATGACTAACTACACTGCACTGTACATATAGTAAAGTATAACCTACTGTGTATATCTCCTACCAACATTATGTGTACAGCAACGTGACCGTTGCGATCAGCTGCTGCCTCGGTACAATACCCATCATGCGTTGTTCCTGTCCTGCGCGGTGTCATCCTACATAGTTTCACTTCAAGTGGTTCTACACTCTGACAATCATCATGGGAGATCATGGGCCGTTATTGGCTTCCAGCACATCTCAAACCTCACCTATTTCGGGCATACACAGCTCGTTCTGGCTGTGCGGCCTAAAACTCACTCTACGTGCAGTCTCTTGTCTTCCCCTCAAATCTCTTTAGCTTTTAGTAGTACCGTTGTTACTTCGCTACAGCAGCTACGAGACACATCTAGTAGCTGTGCTGCGTGTTTTGAAGCTAGATTCCCGCACTTCTACTTGGTAGCTGCCATTCCTAAGTAGTCGAAATTCCCTACGACGGCTGGATACGCATCTGTCACAAGGCAACAACTGACTGTAACGTCTGTCCCTACGTAGCGGGACACCCTGCGTGATAGGACACCACAGACACTTCCTAACACAACAAACTCAACAGTATGCCGGAAAGATAGATATTCTCGGGATAGTAGCCTTAAGCTATAGTGTCTATCCTTTCTTAATGACCTTTAGAAATAGTTTCTGCTTACCGTGTAATACGTCGATTTAGTATAAGCGTTATACGACCGCCTCGCTTTAGCGGGCAGTAGATGCGTTGAAAGCTTATGCATCTTGCTAAAAGTCCGTCAACTTATAGTTTGTTATATCGCTATCTTATCCCGAGCACTACGCTCAAACTCGGGAGGTCGTCGTGCTCCTATGCTCATTGCAAGTCCGCTTGCTAGAAGTACTAGATAAGGAGGGCCCCGCACACTTTGCTTAAAGCATCTTAGCTGTACTGTAATCTATCACTGCTAACGCTAGACCTGTGGCTGTGTGGCTGTACCTCGCGTTTGCCAAGCGTGCTAGGAGACTTAAAAACCGGCTCGGATTCAGTTGGTAGCAGGGCTAGGTAGGAAGGCCTGAGCGTATAGCTCATGTTAAAGAACACACCTAGCATCAAAACCGCAACCGCAATCAGCTTCACAAGTCGCTTGATCTTAAAAAGAAGAGTATGTACATATAATATGTCACAACACTTCTTGTCTTTAGGAAACCTTTCGTGCTCTATTATTACATGACAAGTTTGTCGCGCAGCAGCCTCACCACCGCCTTATAGACTTGGGCTAAAGCCGCGTAGAGTGCATTGTCTAAAATTCCACCCTCGGTGTTAGTCTTGGCGCCCTTGTCGAGCAGCAGCTTCACCACCGCCTTGTGGCCTTCA